GGGCCCTCTGGCATCCCAAGCCAGCTCTTAACCAACGCACCACTCGGCCGGCCCACTATTTTTAAGATGAAGAAGATGATGCTACTTAAAAAATGTAAAAGATGAATGAGATTCACAAAGCCATTCTTTTTTGTAATAATATCAATGGGACCTGAAAAGCTAGTACAATGCTGGTGAGAAAACAATTTTCAAACTTTAAAATGCTTACCATTGTAATCCCACTTCTAGAAGCCTAGTGTAGGGAAATAATCAGCAATATGAACACAGATTTATTTGTAAACACATGAGCATCTAGATGCCTAACTATGGGAAAATGGCCAAGTGAAGCTTGGTACATCTGTGAGATGGTACATCTATCTAGCAGGCATCAAAAATCATAGTTAATAATTTTAACAGGAAAACGGTCATAGTAAAAGAGCAAGTGAAAAAAGTACAAACAGTATGTTTACAACTATATTTTTCAAAGCATAGAAACATTGGAAAGAAATATCCCAAAGTGCTTAAAAAAAAGGGGTGGGGGATGTGGTGATGGCAGAGAAATGGCTTAGAGGTGAACAATGAGAAAAAAGGAACTAAGTAAAGGGGAACTAACATTTTGAACGCCTGCTGTGTGCAAGCATTGGGCTAAGTATTTAACCCTATTCATAATTATTTTTAATAATTAAAGATAATTGGAACAAGGCCACTGGGAGAAGATAGCTTCTTTCCACAATGAAGAGAAGCTTCCCACCTTGGTTCAGTGAAAAACACAGGCAGGCTAAGATTATTCTGAGAGCGGTCTCAGTGCATACATGAGATGACTCCAATGTGGTTAGGAGCCCATCGCCAATGCTGAGCAGCTGACCATGACAGTGAAGATGAGAGTTAAGAGTTAGCCAAATGGGGATTAATTGAAGGCACTATGCACATATATGGGAAAACATTAGGCCGGTCTATCCCAGTTCCTAAACCTCATCCAGAATTACATGGGGAGCTTTCTAAAACTATAGGTGTGCAGCCCAGGCACAGGCCAAAGTAGCCATATCAAGTTGTATGTAAGAACATATGAGATAAAATAGGGGCTGGGCACTGCATAGAGAATGGGAAGAACTAACAAGCCATACGCACGCTTTGTGCTTGGGGCTGTACATGGACTTACTGACGCCCTCACGACAGCA